GTCTAACTGCTATTGCTATTGTGCAGGCAACTGGGCTTTCTTGTTTTTTTTCTTTTGAAGAGATTTCACTTCTCATCCAAGAAGCTTCTTCAGCTCTGACTTGGATGGTGGGGAAGGGAAGGGTTGATTCTCCTTGCAGACAGCTGGTCATTTGCATCCTTTTAGAGGGTCATTGAGGCCACTTGGAGGTTTGTCTGTGTCCTCAGGGTCACCCGAGTGGTGCAAATGGTTCCTGTAGTCTTCAATTTTTCCCTGGGAAATCCATTCCTACTCCCGCACCATTCCAAGGGTCTTCATCCCAAATTGTGTAGCTCAAAGTCTGTAGAGATTCTCAGTCATCCAAGTCATGGTTGTCCCAAAGGTCCTTTTTTTCCAGGAGGCAACTGGACTTTCTTGGGTTTTTTCTTTCTGAAGACGTTTCGCTTCTCACCCAAGAAGCTTCTTCAGCTCTGACCAGCTCAGCGAAACATCATCAAAAGCGAAAACAAGAAAGTCCAGTTGCCTCCAGAAAAAAAAAAAAGCACTTGGGGGACATTCAGTGGGATGCACCGTCTTTCCTTGCACGACGGGGACTTGCTCAAGTACCTGTTGCTTAAGGGATTCATTTTGTTTAATGGACTGAGGCTTCCTTTCAAGGGGAAATGAATTTCAGACACTCATTCCAGCCACTATTAACAGTGATGGCTAACCTTTTCCCAATCGCATGCCAAAAGTGAGGGGAGCGCAGGGGACGTCGTGCGTGGGGGTGCCCACACCCATAATTCTATGCATGCGACCCCCCCCAGTGCGCATGCGTGCACGACCCCTGCACGACCCCCCACTTTTGGGGTGCAATGGCTCTGTTTTTCACCCTCCCCAGGCTCCAGAGGCTTTCTAGGAGCCTAGGGAGGGCGAAAACAGCCTCCCCCACCCTCCCCTGGAAGCCCTCTGGAGGCTTCAGGCTTCCCTGAAGCCTCCAGAAAGCAAAAAATGGCCCTACGGGCAACCCGGAAGTCGGGAACTGACTTCCGCTTTGCCCATAGAGCTGTTTCTCGCCCTTCAGAGGCTTCCATGAAGCTTCCGGAGGGAGAAAAACAGCTCAATGCGCAAACTGGAAGTTCGCAAACTTCTGGTTTGCACATTGGGTTGTTTTTTTGCTCTCCAGAGGCTTCAGGAAAGCCTTGGAGGGCGAAAAATGGCCAAAAACGAAGGCCAAAGTCAGCTGGCCATGCGTGCTGGAGCTCACAGGACAACGCCACGCGTGCCCTAACAAATGGCTCCCTGTGCCACCTGTGCCATAGGTTTGCCATCCTGGCATTATAAGAACCAGCCCACCTAATGCCTTTCCCAGAGGAGAATCACAGGGCTTCCAACTAATCAAGGAGAGACGCAAAATATATCATGGTGACATCTTCGCCCTAGCCACTGTTGAGGTAGCCTCCTTCTTAGTCCTACATTTTTAAATTTACTTTCCTCTCTGCTTACAATTGATCCATCAAACTGTTCTTTGTAAAACAAATTTCAAGCCTCAAAAAAGTGCTGGAAGGAACAGGAAAACATTAAAATTCAACGTAGCATTAAATTCCCAGAGAACAGCAAAAGCAAGCGAGTGAGTGAAGAAACACTCACGGAAACGTGGCGGCTGTGGCTAGTTTGGTGTAGACCGCGGTGCTGAGAAGTTCCTGGCTGATGCAGGAGAAGTAAAACGGGGGCTGCAAGCGGTGTTTGTAGCAGAACTCGGCTGGGGAGAAGCCGTGCGGAAGGGCTGTTTCCGGCAGGTCAGTTTTGGAAGCCACGAAGAGACAAGGAATCTGACTGTCCATGTAGTGTTGCTGCAGAAGGCAAGAAAGAAAAGGGGGGTAGTTATTTTTTAAAAAATAGTTTTTATTAAACATTTTTAGCTTTAAAAACAGAAAAAAAAAACAATCCAGAAAAGACAAGACAAACATAACAATATAAAATAGTTATGCAGCCTTCTTATTGAGATACATGTTTAGCCTTTGTAATTCTCTTTCTTCATTGCCTTCCTGTTCTGACCCCTCTTCTCCATCCAGGAACGAATGCCGAAACCAACGTAAATAAGGTTTCTTTTAATCAGTCAAGACTCTCGTTGGCTGCAAGCCAC